CAGCAGCAGCCTGGTGGTCATCACTGGGCTGGATGAGGATGTCGTGGGGACATGGCTGAGGTCCTCAACCCTTCAACACCCCAGATCAGGAGCCCAGCCAGGCTTCCAGTCCTTCTAAGTTTACGGGTGTTCTTTGGCGGTGTTAGACCTTTACTAGTTAATATCAGAACTTTGTCTCTGATCTGTGAGTTTTTTGTTTTTCTTTCAGTTCTGTGTTGGATTTTTTGCTATTTCTAGCACTTAAATTCTGCACTGGAACTAATTTGTTGTTCTCTGGTTACTTCTAATACGGGGGAACTTCCTGTGGGAACCAGTACTTGAGCCCTGTGGTTGAACTAAATTGCTGCTTTGCTGCTGATTCTTTGGGGACGGCTTTTTGTGCAGCCCAGGTTTTAGATGCTGACCTTGTATGTACTTCCGGGTGTTGTGAGGTCCAGTAAACCTGGGTTGTGTGGAAACTCTGGTCTGGGCCTGAGTCTTTTCAGCACACTGCACCCCCTGCAGTTCTACATTCCTGACCCAGTCTCCACTGAGTGGGCCTGTGCTGACTGGAGGGCAGATCAGCTGTCCATGCTGTGCCCCAGTGTTTCCCTGGTGGGTCTGTCTCCCCCATCCACCCCATCCCCTTGCATTCCAAACTCTTCCCATGGGATGGGCCATGCACTGGTCCCTTGTGATGACTCACTGACCTATGAGTGGCTCCTTTTTTCAGTTGTCTGTGGCCCCTCACTCTTATGTGGTCCACGGGGACCCTGTTAGTGGTCTTGCTGGCCTGGAGGCCACCAAGGCCCTCTTCTCCCCTGCAGCCTCCAAACAACTTCATCCAAAGGGCACATCTGCAGCTTTTGCCAGCTCTTGCTCCGTGTGCTCACCAGGGCCAGCCTTGAAGTAGTCAGGGCTCAAAATGGTTGAAGCAGTCCTTTCTATCTCTCATCATGGCTTCTCCTGCCTTCATGAACTCTGTATGTCTCTCCTCCTCTACCCCTGAACTCCAGTGGCCCCAGCTAGGCAGTCATTGCTTTTTAGAAGTTGTAAATCGGTTGACTATGAGAGAGGGTGGTACTGGATACCATCTACTCCACCACCTTGATTGGAAATCTTCACTACTATGTCTCTTATTTGACTTTCATGATTAAAGATGTTCTTAATGGGATGCTAGAGTAAGCCATTTCTTTCACCCAATTCAAAATCCTTACTGCCTCATAACTCCAGCCAAAATTTATAGATGGCAGGTTGAATATAAAAATTATTGATAGAGAAGTCCTTAGTAATACTTGCTAGGAAAAAGTGTACTAACATAAAAATCATTTGGCCTAATATCCACTTTTATAACTAATTTTTTTTTTTTTTTTTAAAGATGACTGGT